CTATAGTAATGACCTGTAGGCAATGATTTTATTAATTAGAGGAATTATCCAAATTAGTAAAGGAGCGAAATATCATTTCCTAGGTTGCATTTAGAGAAATAGCTTCTTAATGATGAGTGAGTCAATATATGAAAGTCACAACAATTTGTAAATACTTAATATATATACAATAAAGACATGTTATGCTGATGTGAATGCAGGTTAAAAAAAAAAAAAATACACTTTATAAATATATTATAAAGTATTTCTTATTTAAATTAATTTTTTATTTTATTTTTTATTTTATTTGAGTATTGATTTTCAAGTCAAAAATAAATAAAATAGAACTTGAACTCTTAATAACAAAAAATAATACTTAGAAAGAAGATTTTTAATTAAAGACTTTCTTTCATTTTTTTTTTTTTTTTTTTTTTTTTTTTTTAGCTGACTTGGTCAAGTTTATTAGCAAGTTTTAATATATGGATACATATGACCAGAAGAAAACAATGATACACTAGTAAACTAATAATAGGTTTGAAAATCACCTCATGGCTAAGCCATCTCCAAATAGAAACTTAATAAAAGAACTATTAGGGTGATATAAATTCTAAAAGGAGGAATTGTTATATGTATCGAATCTAATTTATCTAACTTAATCCTAGGAGGGATAAAGGGGATTGTATTTATTACCCTACTCTGTTGACTCTATTTAAAGGAGAAAATTGAAACTAAAGCTGTACAAATTTAAATAGAGGTGAAGATTTTGCATTACAAAAAAAAGGCATTGAAGGGAAAAGAGGAAATAGTTTGGTTATGGATAACTTGGAGACATGCTACTACTACTATATTGATACCATAGGCTAATTACTCTTTGAGGGCATCATCAGTTCACTGCTTTCAGTACCTCTATGTTGTAATCCTTGTCTATCAATTCTTGTTTTTTCTTTTTATACTCTATCCAGTATGGAATCTTCTACTGATATTCTTCTGAGTGATAATAAGTCGAGGGTTTTGGAGGGCTCTAAAACATAGAAAAAGTGAATGGGCACTGGGATATTAAAGGCCCATCATTCAACAAGCTGTTCTTCTTTATCATTATAATAACTCCAGCCTAGAAAGGAGAATCTTGATACTTCCAGCATGTGCCTTGTTGGACTTGATAAATATCATGCTGTTTTTCCTGAAGTACTACCATCAGTAAAGATTGAATCATTTGTCTAATATTCTATTGTAGCATATTCTTCAGTTATCTGAGGTCATCCGACTACATGTTAATTTTATTAATTAGGTGTTAATGATCTTAAGATCTCCTTAATCTCTCAATATTCATACTAATAAAGAATAGACATGACACTTTTAAGATATCATCCTCGGTTTTATTTCTTTGAGTTTAGTCTTCTTTCTTCTTTCTTAATAGAGGGGAGAAAAGAATATGTTCTTTCTCTTTCGCTTAACCAAAGATATAGGAGTTGACAATGTTCATTATCTATCTGTATCAAGGCATAATATAATGACTTATAGTAGACCTCAGGTTCTTATGAAGCTGAAAAAATACATTTGAACATGTAAAGTGATCAATAGAAGCTTGTTTATTTCTTTTACTAATGTGAGCTCTGTCTGTTCAATCACAGTGTGAGAAACTTTGTGCTACTCAAAATTCAGGATCAAACTGAGGTAGACAAAATTTCCTAGAAAAAAACCAAGAATAAGTACTATGAGAAATAAACACATAATGAGAGAGTGAAAAAGTTGTTTCTTATTATAACAACACTTCTATAGTATTTTTTTATGATATGAGATAGTAGCACATTAGTTCTTCTTCCTTTTAGAACTTTCTTGCCATAAGTAGGAAAGGTGTTTCTTGATCTTTAAGGTCACTAGAGGTCAAGTTTTTATTTGAGGAAAATAGTAAGCAAGAAGGGTGAAGGTGATTGATGGCTCTTGAAATTTCTTCAAGTTGGTTTAAAGAAAGTGATAAGACTTTATTAGCCTAGAAATATGAAAACTTCTTGCAAACATCTTTTTTATGTGTAGTTAGAGGATCAGTGAAAAGAGTTGATTTTTGAATCTCAAAAGATTTTCTTTCATATTCTATAATAAAATAAGTAGATTTATAAAAAAAGTATTTGTCAAATATTATATTGTATTATATATAGTAATCTTATTTTTTAGAAAATTTATGAGACCTCAAGCTTTTTGAAATATATAAACAAATTTTCAATATTTTTGAAAATTTTTATCTCTTTTCTTTGATTCTAAATATTTGGTTATATTAAATTTGCTGGAATTCCATTGACTAGATATTTGAAATTAGATAATATTATTAATAATGAAAAATAAATAAGATATGCTTATATTTTTACATATTTTTTTTATATCACCTTTTTTGTAAATAGCTATTGTTCTTACTATAATTATTAATTTAATTTAATATAAATATATTATTAATTATATATATTCAGGTTATTTATTGAACTATATTTCTAGTAATAATTAAAAAAGAATTATTTAATTATGATAAAGTTATAAGATATTTCAATATTAAAATTACCTATTCTTAGCAATTAAATAAATTTTAATAGTTTCTATAGATAAATAGAAATCTGATTTATTTTTTATAAAAATAAACAAGAATGATAAGAAATTTTTTTTAGTTAATGAATTTTTATTTCAGTTTCATGATTTGTAAAAGAACTACAAACTGAAGAACCTTATCAAGACTTTTAATATGATTTTACTTCAATATAATTATTTAAATTACTAGAAATATTTATTCTTCTTATTTATAATAAAAGTATTAATTTAAAAATTATTATTAAAATAAAAATCTCTAAAGGCTTGATTTGTTTTTGAAAAAGTTATAACTTTTTAAATAAGCAGCTTATATTTGAAGCAAATATTATCTTTAGAACTAGATTATTAATCTCTTTATAGATTTTAAAATATTTTCTTGATTATAAATTTTATCAGATATTTAAATAAGTAGTCTCCTAAATAGATTTCTAGATAAGATAATATTAATAAAACTGATTTCTAAAACTATCTTACTTCTATTTTAAGAAAAAGAAAATGTAAAAGAGGTTTTACTCTTTTTTTAAAAAAAATAAAGAAACATGATATTCTAATGAATAATCTATAGATATTAATTTTTTTATTGATATTAATTTTCAATAAACAATTGATAGTAGAAAAAATTTTAGTCTTTATTTAATGGTTTTTTTGAAATTTTTGTATTTTATAGCACTAGTTTAAAAGTAATTTTAGATTAAAAATATAATTCAATAAATTGTTTGAATTTAAGAAATTTAATAATACTTTTAATATTTTCAATTATTTCAATATATTTTGTATCTTACTTTATTATTTCTAATAAATATAGTTGAGCTAACAATTTTTTTTTTAAAAAAAAAATGAAATATCATTTTCTAAGTTACTGTATATTTAAAGAAATAGTTTTTTAATAATGAGTAAGTTAATATATATATACATATATATATATAATTTTAAATGCCATGGACAATAATAATGGAAGTCACGATGCTTAATTTTTAGAATTGCATAAAGTTCGAATTACGAAAAGCATGCATATGGGGAATGCAAAATCGCTAGGACCTTTATGTTTAACACGCATTTAAATTATCATGACGCGATTTGTCATGTGACAGGTACAAACGCCACATGACAATGATATGTCCCCCGATTCGGACTAGCATTCTCATGTATTGGAATTTGTTTTCTTTAATCACCAGGATCTAACTGGCACCGCAGTTCTGGAGGTTATGTATAACACGTAGCTTTTATACCGTGACAGCATATAATATGTATGCAAATCATTGTAAAAGTTCTTTCACCTTCCATGAGCTTCTATTTGACGTGTACTTCCACATTCGGTCAAATCCACCTAAAAAAGGGGGACTTGATGTTTGATTATTTATCTACCGAAGTACTATAAAAATCTACGTTAGTTGTCTCTTCTTCACCTCTTTTACTTTCCGCGAAGGATACATTTGCACTAGGGTTTTATCATGATGTACAACGATGAAGAGCTTAACAACGGTGAACAATTGACGTAAGTAGTCTTTTGCAATTTCGAAAGCTGCGAAGGTAGCGATCGTTCGAGTTGCCGCAGAATCAACACTCTTTACGATTTTGCCACCTTTTTCAGTTGCTAAAAATATAACGTTTGGTTGGCGAAGAGCGTCCTTTAAAATTTTTTGAATAAACCGTAAAATCTCTTCTCTAAAAACCCACCGTTCATTACAATTATCATCAAAAGTTTCTTTTTGAACATACATTACATAGGAAATTCTCTTTTATGCTTTATATTAGGTAAGAATTGTCGCAGATTAAATCGTATTTTAATTTTACAAGGTTCACTTCCGCGGAAGAAGTCAAGGTAGCCGCCAATGAACAATATAAATATGGAAATTATGAGCAGGCCATTATTTTATATACGCGCGCAATCGGTAATTTATCTAATCGTTAGCATTGTGTTTTATCATTTATTCCTGGGGAAGAAAGAGGATATCAAATATATTTTAAGTGGAAAAAATAATAAACATTTTTTGACGCATTCATCGTAGAACTCGATCCCACGTCTCCAACTTATTACACTAACCGTGCCGCTGCTTTGATGATGTCGAGAAGGTCAAAGGATGCACTTGAAGATTGTCAACGTGCATTGTCACTAGACCCGTCATCACTTAAAGCATTGCTTCGTGGCGCAAAATGTAATTTTGTACTTGGTAATCTTTCAGAGGCGGATCGATTGTATACAAGGGTATCGAGTGTGGAACCAAATTTACAGGAAAATTCAGAGTATAAACAATTACGTCAGGTACAAAATTACATCTTTCAGGCAGAAACATATTTAGAAAATGCACAGTACGGATTGGCAATAAATGCGATTGATAGAGCCGTGTCTCCGTTAGAGGTAATTCCTAATAAATTGAAGATAATGAAAGGAGAAGCATTATTAGGACAAAAAGAATATGCCGAGGCAACCAGAATAGCAAAGTGGGTAAATCTTATAAGATATAAAGTCATGTATCGTAAATGTATGAACTCACATGTCCGAACACAATTGCATGCATTATAGTGAAGTATTACGTGGCGACCCTAGAAATTCCGATGCACATGTATTACGAGCGCGAATACTATACATAGAAGGAGACAATAAAAAGTCCATTGCTCATTGTCAAGAGGCATTACGTTTTGAACCTGATCATTCAAGTGCCCGTGTTTTGCGTAAGGTGATTGTCCCAGTGGGTTCTTTTATATTGATTGCTTTTTTATTAACGAAGATTTTTTGACATATAAAGAAAGCTCAACAAATTGAGGATCAGAAAAATGCGGGCAATGATGCATTCAGTAGAGGAGATTATTTTGTCGCGTGTGGACTTTATACTTCCGCCCTCGAGGTGGATCCGACAAATACCATCACAAATTCTAAAATATATTCGAACCGAGCTCTTGTATTGATGAAACAAGGAAAATACGCGGATGCCGTAAAGGATATGGACAAGGCTCTGGAGTTGGATCCGACTTTCATTAAAGTTTTGCGGCGACGTGCCGATGCATACTTAAAACTAGAAAGGTATCAGGACGCTGTGAACGACTTGAGGGCGGCAATGGATCTCGACAGCAGCAATCGGGAGATTCGCAGGGAACTTCAGAATGCCGAACGAGAATTGAAAAGGGCGTCACGTAAAGATTATTATAAGATTCTTGGAGTGCCAAGAGATGCATCTGAAATTGAAATTAAGAAGGCCTATCGTAAATTAGCGCTCCAACATCATCCGGATAAGAATTGCGGTGATTCCGATGCTGAAATCAAATTTAAAGAGATTGGCGAAGCATACGCTATTCTCGGTGATCCCATGAAAAAACAACGATATGATTCCGGTGTCGACCTCGACGGCATGAACGGCGGAATGAATTTTGATTCCGTTGATCCAAATCTATTCTTCCAAATGTTTATGAACGAAAATTTTGCCAGCGCAGGTGGTGGCTCCGGAGGCTTTCGTACACATACTTATCATTTTGGATAACCAATCGTTTCCATGTGTAATATCGCTTCCGGTCAATAATCTGTGTTTAGACGTTCTATTTATTTTAAGAAACATTGCAGGGGAAACAACTTTCAAATGTAATTTATTTGCTCTGTCTAACCGCAATTCAAAAAAATTATGTTAATGTTTCCCTTCGACACGGATCTTGTAATTATCGCGCCTACACGCGATTCCTTTATAAAATCATAATTTTAGAGTTAATGTATTTTTTTTTACTAAGCATTTGCCAATTCCTTAAAAGCTATTTCTTAATACGTGTCAAGCCTGCACGTGACGTCAAATTTCTATAACCATCTCTTCATCATAAGATTATCGTTAACCATTCATGTCTAAGTTTCTTGAATCAATTTACTTCAACGTGAGTAAAACGCCCATACTGTATGGATATTTAACCAACTAATAAAAAAAATAATTAATCATATTAGACCTCTTTAATGAATCATTTTCGAAAATCATTATTTTCGATTTCGAGGACAACTTACATTCGTGGATTCGCTACGTAAAAATATTTTTCATCTGTCGTCGTCGAAATTTTGGATTTAATTGCTGTCGCAAGATTTGGTCACATTTTATTCATAACAAATACCAGCAGCGGAGAGTTTGGCGGGGGAATTAACAATGAAACAACAACAGCCATTCGCGAAGGAGATTTCAAGGATGTAATCCAGAGACCATTAGATTCGGTATTTTTGGGTACTGTAAAAGCAACTAGTTCTCGATCAAAAAAAGTGTCCAACTTATTAAACTTAGTCTGCTTTACATTCGTGAATAAACAGAACCTGAAAGAATTCCACCGACACACGGACACGTAGTATGTCACCTTCATTTTCGTTCTTATATCCCAGGACCCATGGACTTTTTTATAGATTTCGCTCGACGCGTTGCGCATGCCCTAAAAATGCCATGCAGTGGATCTATCCCCTTACCCACGCAAACATCCCGTTGGACAGTGATTAAAGGGCCATTTGTACATAAGAAATCACAAGAAAATTTTGAGCGTAAGACTCACAAACGATTTTTAATCATCAAAGATACAAATCGAGAGGTGGTGGAAAGATGGTTATGGTATTTGACGAAGAGTTGTCCGGCTGGTGTAGGAATGAGAGTTACACTTTGGGAATGGGAGAAGTTGGGAGTAGGAAAGGAAATGTTGCAGAATGCCAGTGGCAAAAAGAGAAGAATGTTGAAAGATGTGGAAAGCACGAGAGGGGTAGATGTTCGGGATGTGGTCGTAGAGGTGGCTAATGCGTTGGTGAAAGATATGGAAAAGGAATTGGTCAGTGAGACGGATGAATTGCAGGATAAAAATTCAAGCGGGAATGATGAAATGAGACTTAATGATGTAAATAAAGAGAATGAAGATGGTGGCAATAAGAAAGACGAGAAATAAAGTAAACAGTTAAGCAAAAATTTGATAGAAATTTTTAAATTTTAATTGGTTTTTTTATCAAGTAATCAAGTAATTGGATTTTTAATTTTATAAAAGAAATTCAATTCATAATTACTGTATATTGTTACAATATGAAATTTTATAATATGCGGTATATTGATTAAATGTTTTTTTTTTTTGCGAATGACCTGTAGCTAGGTTAGATTAGAAGTTTACTAATACAAAAGTACATATTCATTCAAGCAACATAGTATATATTATAGCTAAACTATATATGCAAATCTAACTAACTCATTATAGTCATAAAAGTCTCTAAGTTTGATCTTGGAAACAATTTGTTGTTTCATAATGGATTTTGGATAAATATTTTTCTAGATTATATATCACCATTGGGAGGTTGTACTATTAATTATTTTATTAAGTTATTAAAATACAAGAAATTATACAAGAAATAGGTTGAGAAAAAAATATTTAAAAATATATAAGTATGCTACAAAAAAATTTAAAATTAAAAAGAAAAATAATGTGTAGATTATTTAAAAAACTTTTATTTTAAGATTTCTTTTTAATAAGATTTATTTAATTGAAATATTTATTTTTTATAACTATTTGAGAAACTTATCTATTCTTGATCTTGATTTTTTTTTTTTATATATTATCTGAGAAGGCTTATTGTTTATTAAAAATCTTTATTTCTAAAGATATATCTAATTTCAATTTTCTTTGAATAGTAATTTTATATTTATCTATAATAAATAGATAACTTATAATGAATTCTAGATTTTATGCAACTTATTAAGAATTAAATTATATTGTTTCAATATAATATTTTTCAGGAATTATATTTAATTAAAAAATTTTTATTGAAATTATCTTTATTACTTAAAATTTTAGATTTCTTAATAATTATTTTATCTTATAATATTATAAAAAATTTTTTTATATAAAAATAAGAATCTCTTTTATTATAATATTTTTTAATAACTTTTGAAAAAATATATTTTAATTATAATCAAAAATTAAAACTTAATATAAATTAGAGACTATTTAATCTTATTGTCTAAATGAAATAATAAAAAAAATCTTGTTTTTGAACTTTGCTTAATTGAAATAATAAGAGAAAAAGATTTTTGTTTAAATAAATAATAACTTTTTTATTACTTGAAAATTTGTTACTAGCTTTTTATTGATCTTATAAATTTAGAATAAGAATTAATTCAATAAAAAAATAAGTAGAAATAAAAAGCAATTAATTTTTTTAACTACTAATGACACAATCAAAATATATAGTACAATTAATAGAAACTTGTTTATATTTTATTATTAATATATTTTTTATCAATCAATTACTTTTAATAAAAATTATATTAATAAATTTTCCAAAAAAAAATTTTTTTTTGATAATTTTCTTAAAAAACAAAAGAAGTCAGTCACAATACAAGAAAAACTTATAACAAAAATCAGAAACAACAAGAAATAATTATATAAGACTGGTTCTTTACATATCTAATCCTCTGGTAAAAAAAATAAAGAAGTATTAATATATTTAATCAATATTTTATAGATTTTCTTTCTTTATAAGAAAAAAAAACTTTAAAAAAACTGATTCACAGTAAGCTTTTTAAGACTCAATCTCAACTCTCCAAGTTCTCAGTCAGATCAATATAGATTAATATATTTTTTGAAATTAAGAAAAGTCCTATAAAAAATAAGTCAAATCAATAAATCAATTTAGATTCAAGATTCATATCACCTAAGAAAATATTCAAGTTTTTTTTACTAAATAGTAAAGAGCATTAAAATATCACAATAGAAATATATAATAATCACTATATTATACAAATATTAATATATTGTTCAAAAATATAACAACTTGTTTATATTTGAAATAGATAATTTGATTAAATCATAATCAATTTTTTAATCTTATGTATTTCAACTAAACTGTTTTGATAAATAATATTGATCAACTTGGATTAAGTAAACAATTATACATGTTTGATCAAAGTAAACAATAACATATGTTTAATCAAAACATAATATTATATAAAAGTAAACAACTTATTTTTCTATAATATATGATTCAATATAACTATAAAAAAATATAAGTTAATACAAATTATAAAAAAAAAAAAAAGTATATATTATAGATAAATTAGTAAAAAAATTCTTTCCGCTAATCCCCAATTTTTCAGAAAATTTCCTTTTTTGGTAATTTTTTGAGAAAAAGAGAAACCAGCCAAAA